GTCACCCCCTCGACACCCACAGCTGTGCCAGAATCTTGGGGTGACTGGGAACGGCAAAAGGGAATTTATCTGTGTCAGCTGAAAGAGGGGATCTGCCTGAGGAATCCCAAGTGATTGCAGAAACCTCTGGGGACAGAAGCGTGTTGGGGATTTCGTGTGTGCGAGCACGCACACAGCCTCCGTCTACCAAATGCTCGTATTCTGTTCTTGAAAAAACAAAGATCTGCATGAACATGCTGAGAGGGAGCCCAAAATACATCACAAATGTGGCACTGATAAATGAGTACCTTCTCTGAAGTTTGGGTACTGGACGTTAATAGGCCTTCTCCTGGGAAAATGTCAACTGGGAGGACATCTGCTGCAGGGTGCTGTTTCTCTCTAGAATAGCTGTGGAATACATGTGCTGTCTATGACATTGGCCCCCAGAACAAGGAAGAGGGGGTGTGGGCTCTGGCTTTTCAGTAAGAATTTTTTTCCGTGCCCAGGATTTGAGAAACAGAACAGAAAATAACACCTAGAGGTGTCAGGGAGTCATCAAAACTTATGGGGTGATGATAGATGAGATGATAACACCTTGGAAACAAATCACAGAGAGAAGAATTTCCTTGCCAAGGGGTCCCTGAAAGTCCCAGCAGCTGCAAGGAGACCCTACGCCCTTAGCATTCACCTGAGTCTATTGAAAACCCACCATCATCTGGCAGGGAGGATGCGGACACACCTGTAGACCAAGATATTTGTTTTTCTGAAACTGGCTTATTTCACTCAATATGATGGGCCCCAGCTCTTCTGTGACTGGGTTATGCAACAGTTGATTTTGTGTGAACCAAAAAGGAGCTTATCTGGTTGGTCTGGTCAGCTGATGAGCTGTTTGATTTCTGTCTGAAGTCAGGGATTTGAAGTGAGGTGGCTGTAGAGTGGGCTGTGTGTTAAGTGACCGAAACTGATCCTTGCTTCACAGCAAGCAAGACAGTGGGCCTCAGCAGCTGCAAGGAGACTCTGCCCTCAGCATGCACCTGAGTCTATTGAAAACCCACCATCATCTGGCAGGGAGGATGCAGACACACCTGTAGACCAAGATATTTGTTTTTCCGAAACTGGCTTATTTCACTCAACGTGATGGGCTCCAGATTGATCCTTTTTTTTTTTTTTTTCCTGAAGAATGCCACAATCTTGCTCTTAAGGGCTGGATAATGCTCCGTTGGGTGTTCTCTTTATCAGTTATCTGTTGATGGGCACCTAGGCTGGTTCTAGATCTTGGCTATTGGGAATTGTGCAGCACATGAATTGAGTCCCTTTTATAGCACCGACTGCAGTTCAGAACTATTTTATGTGTTGGTTTACTTATATGGGGGCTGCGTTTCTTTTTATTAATATGCTGTACTCTCCAGCGACAAGCAGGTATGGCTCTCTTGTCCGACACCATATTCTTAGCACCTAACCCAGTTCTTGGTTCAATAGTTCTTCCTAAAACATGTATCAAATAAATGGATAGAGGACACTTAATTGTTTAAATAATGTTGTTAAATTTTCCTTTTAGCCCTTCTTTCCTCCATCTTTCCCTCCTTTTTTCCTTTTGCCCTTCCTCCATTCCTTCCTTCCTTCCTTCCTTCCTTCCTTCCTTTCTTCCTCTCTCCCTCCCTCCCTTGCTCCCTTCCCTCCTTCCTTCCTTCCTTCCTACCTCTCTCCCTCCTTCCCTCTCTTCCTTCCTTCCTCCCTCCCAGCCTCCCTCCTTCCCTTCCTCCTTTTCTTCTCTCTTTGTATTTCAGTGGAAGAGCTGACTTCTCCCTAAGATCCAGCCTCTGTGGGGAGAGCTGCAAAAGTCTACAGGACACTTCCAGCACCCCTCCAACACTTTCCCTTTTCTCTGATTCTCCTGGCTCCAGACAGCATTGCCAGAAATGTTCTTCTGTGTATTGCCTATGACTTTGAATTCCTGCCTAGGAAATCAAAGAGCACAGAGCCGGACTTCTCTGTTTTTCATGTGCACGTTGAGGTCGGAGAAGAAAATAGAAATTTGGTAGACAGAGTTATAAATGGTTGCAGATTCCCGCCCTATGATACAAAAACCCTCTGAAATCCTGACCCCTGAGCATGTACAGAGCTGGTGAGATATCTCTTCTGTGACTGGGTTATGCAGCAGTTGACTTTGTGTGAACCAAAAAGGAGCTTACCTGCTTGGTCTGTTCAGTCTGATGAGCTGTTTGATTTCTGTCTGAAGTCAGAAGGATTTGAAGTGAAGGTGGCTGTAGAGTGGGCTGCGTGTTAAGGGACCGAAACTGATCCTTGCTTCACAGCAAGCAAGACAATGGGCCTCAGCAGCTGCAAGGAGACCCTATGTACATGGGAGAGGACCCTGCGGGCCAGAGAGGAGCACAGCCCAGCGAACACCTTGGTGGCTGCTTGTGAGACCTCCAGCTGGCGCCTGAGCTAAGACTTACACTTTGGAACCCCAGAGACTACAAGTTAATAAATATGCTGTGTCTCGCCACTGATCCTGATGTAATATGTCATGCAATGACAGGGAAGCATAGCAAGAATTTGGCAAGATGAGTTCTAAGGATGGTCAAGGAGGAGGACCTCATTTTCAGGAGGATGGCTTATTTTCCCTCAGTCAAGACAAACCTATAGAACAAGATCAAGGCTGGCAAGTAAATTATTCCCAGGCCTTGGTAGAACTGAGTTTGCAAACTGAGGTACCACTGTAATAGGGGTTCTGCTCTGATCCAAGAAGACATTTTCCCGTGGAATTTATGGGAAATACCAATGCTATTTTCATGGTCCTTTTTTTTTTCTTCAATGGGTTTATGTTTGCTTTGCCAAATCAGGTGATGCTTCCCTGACAGGAAGCCAAGAGAATATAAACCACCACCATCAGCATCACCACCACCTACAACAATGAGTCAAATTGGAAAATGCCCGTAGGTTTTATTAGGGGAATTTTCTTGTAGGGGAGGATCCTCAGCTGAGCTACACACTTTCCCCTTGAGGTTTACTTTTTGTGGGTTTCACTCCACTCTGATGCGCACAGCCATAAATATGCTCAGAGGGGTACAAACTTGAGCAAAACCCCTTTCTGACAGTTTCTCCTCAAAGAGCCTGAGATTTCACTTTCTGGAGATGGTAAGGGTTGTGCAGATGGAAGAAGCTAGGAGGATGAGAAAAGGAAGAGGCAGTAAAAAAGATCAAGATGTGATATGTATGTTACCAATACCCCATAATGAATTTTTTTTTGTAGCACAAATAGATACTAATCAAAAAGGAAAAAATAAAATCATATAGCAATAGAGAATAGCATGAAGGGACCAAGTTATTGTTTTATTATTTAAAGCAATAATATAAACACTCTTCTAATAAGTGAGCTTTAGTCATGCTGATCTGATAGATATTAGGAGCGTCTTTCCACCACTCACGCCCATTTTTCCCTGTTCTTGGTCAGGCATTTACCAAGCACAAGCCATAATTCCTATTTGTAATTGAGCATGAAAGACCCACAATACAGGCATTTTACCTCCTCTTTGGAATATATGATTCAAGGTAAAAATAACAAAAATATAGATAGCACAATGTATGGCTTGCATACATTCCTTGTCATAGCTCCACTCTCTGGTAACTGGTTGTATTTTATTTTGTAGACCCTTCCTCAATTTCTTTATGCAAATAAGAAACATGGGTGGGTATTCTTGTTTCTTCTTCATTCATGAAAAATAATTTCTAAAAAATTAAAGATTGTACTACCACATCAGGACCAGGGAATTTGTTCAGTGGCATAGAGCCTGCCCGGGCAAGCATAACATCCCGAGTTCGATTCCGGGTACCAAAAAAAAAAAAAAATTGTACTACCACATAACCTAGCATTCCTACTTCTGACTACACAGCCAAAGGAACTGAAATGAGGAAGAAAATGGCCAGGTCACTGTAAGGATTAAGCCCAAAGAAATACGGTAATACTTCGGTCTGTGAACTTGATTCTTTCCATGATTCTGGTTTCCAGTCAAGTTGGATAAGAACCAAATCAAATTCAGTAGTTAGGTTCAATGTTGACCTTATGGGAAAATTTGATTCCATTCTCATCCAGTTTGGTTTGCAACTGGAATTGTGGAGAGAATTGAGTTTGCAAACTTAAGTACCTCTGTAATAGTGGTTCTACTCTACCTGCCTTTGAAGTCTTTGTAGTTACAAATGCTGGGGAAGACTCTGGCCTATGCTGGAAGGTGATCTTAGCCAGGATGGGCACCTGGGTCAACACCTTGCTCAGAAATGGCTCCAACAGACTCCTGAAAGAAGCAGTAAGCTCTTGACAGAGATGACTCAGAAAAATGACCTATTTTTTTTTTTTCCCCTGCTCAGTATCTGGAATGACACATTAATCATGCATACTAAGCAGCTTTACATTACTACAGCAAAGTACTTGAGGAAATTAAGTTATAAAGAGAAGAGGTTACTTAGCTCCTCATTTTGAATGTTCTAGTCCATGGCTGAGTAGCTCCACTGCTTTAGGTCTCTGGTGAGGACAGGAGTTGGCAAAGATGGCCAGTGTGTGTAGGAGCAAACTGCTCACATCATGAGCTTGGAAGCAGAGAGTGACTGAGAGATTAGAGTCCCACAGTCCCCTTTAAGGCCATGTTCCCAATGACCTAAGGACCTCCCACAAGGGAGCTCCATAGTTCACCCAAGTAACACCAAACTGGGGACCTTCGGAGGGCCCTTATTTAAGCCCTGACCTTGTACTTTTAGAAGGATGAAATAAACAAGTTCATTCTTTTTACACTGACCATTTTATCTGACATTCCTTTTGTGGAAGGTACATGGACTTTGGACCCAGCCTCCCACTCAGAGATTGTGTTTCTTTGGTTGCCTTTAATTGGAGTCATGATAGGATGGCCCTGCTCATGTCACACAAGGGAACACCTGCCAGGTGAAGTCCTGGAAAGGTGTCTCTGTCTTGACAAAGAGTCTGCACTTTTCTTATGCTGTTTCTTTTCTGTCCTTCCTCCTTCCAGAAGCACAGATGCCTGAGTGGACCTCAGCTATTGTGACCATGAGGAAGACAACCAGGACAGAGAAAGAATAAAATGCAAAAGTTGGTGGCTCGGGCAGAGAATGAGCACCAGTTCCTCCAGGCATCGAGGAGAGCTTTGGCTAACTAGTTACCACGCAAGGAGTACCCTCCCGCCTTGCACAAGCTTTTGGCTTCTTATCACCGAGCTTCTCATCCAAATACAAACTTACCTGAGCTTATTACCCACCTGCAATTTCTTCTAGGCAAGGAAAAGTTTATAGTGGTTAAATCTCTAGAATTAATTGTGGCAAAAAAGGTCTTTCATGTTTTAGCATTTCTTAAGGCAAGAAAATCAGAATACATATTGGCATTCTAAGAAATATAGCTTGCAGGGAGATGGCATAGATTATTTCTTCAAAAACATAGGAATTGAAATGTTCCTTTCTTACCTTAGCTGTTAGTATCTGAATTCTGATAAAATGTCTAGTTACTTGGTGTACTGAGTTAAAACAAATCACTACCATTTGCACTTTTTATGCACATAATATTAGGACTGTTTGCCAGTGTGCCATCTGTAAGGAGATTGTATTTTATGCAAATGATTTCTAATTAATAACAAGAATTCCTGCCTAAATAATCACAAATACATAAAGTTTATAACAAATGGACAGTAAAGAAAGCTGTCCATAGTCTTAAACTTTATAAAACACACACAGTCTAGGTTATAATTATTTCATTTATGTCTGTAAAAAGTAACTCTACCACATTATATTCTAGGATGATTTCATGGTCTGCTTCAACACCATCTTGTAGAAAGAAGTTCGTGAGATTCAAAGGAACACAGGGGGCCAGGGTTGTAGCTCAGTGGCACAGTGCCTGCCTGGCAAACACAAGGTCCTGAGTTTGATTCTAGGTACCAATAAATAAATAAATTAATTAATTAATTAAAAGGAGCGCAGGAGTGCTATGATAAATATTTTAGATGTTATATTAGCTGAAAGACATAACTATTAGAGCTCTACAAAAATAGAAGGAAATGATGAGTGTAATGATTGATACATTGTGTCAACTTGAAAAGTTTAGAAGTTTAGCTAAGTGACTCAGCAGGGTACCATAGTCCTCACTTTGTAAACATTCTGAGCCAGTGCAAGAGGAGAGCATGGAGATGGTATGGGTGTAAAAGAGCCACCCTAGGGCAAGGGGCCTGCTTACAATACAAGGGAGGAGAAGAGGCTTGTCCCCTCAACTCCCCTGTTTTGCTCTTGTTGCTTTTGCTGTCTTCTACTGCCTTGAAGTGTTACCCCTCACCTTTCCACCCTGCCTTGGAGCCAGTGGATTACTGACTAAAACCTCCACAAACTGTGAGCTAAATAAACCTTTCCTCCCTTAATCTTGGGCTTTGGTTATTTTGTGGCAGCAAAGAAAGAAAAGTAACTAAGACAATGAGATAGATTCTAAAACTTACATATGATGGACAATGCAAGAGATATACTCAATGTGGTACAGTGGAGCCACGAGTCAGGGTGATATAATAATATGTAATTATGTGAAAAGCAACTCCTGTGAGAGAGAAATAGAAAGATAGTACTTTCATTTGGTTTGATGTGTCTGGGCAAAACTATTATTCATTTCTTCAGTTAATATTTATTGAGTGCCTAGTATAGGAAGGTATTGCTTTAAGCATGAAGGATACATAAGGTCTCAATTCATCTGAAGTATGGTGAATGAGTCAGAGAAGCAAATAACTAAAAAAGCAGAGAAGCAGAATCACAAGGTGCTAAAGGGTGTACACGAAAGCCCATCCAGTCTGGGCTATCAGAGATCACAGGGGGAGGTGTAGCCAAACCAGGTCTCAAAAAGTGTGAGGAGTGAGCCAGAGGGCAGAAGGAAGGCCTAAGGCTGGCAGAGCACATGGAATCACTTTTGGGGACACCCCACAGGACACAGAAACTTAGGACAACCTTCAAGGAGCTCAGAAAGACTGATACAAGGCAATTGTGGGCAGGTGGGTAGGTGGGGGGCTGGGGAAAGTAACTAGGAAAGTTAATAAAAGAACCTGTAAATGATGATTCTTCAAATAGTTTGAACTGGGAAATTATGTGCTCAAGTTAATGTTTTTTGGGTAGAGCACTCTTCTAAATGTGGATTCTTGGGTGTTGGACTGAAACCTGAGAGGGTAGGCTAGACTGGTAGCATAGTTTAGCTGGCACTAAGCATATTGTGGAGAATGGATGGGTGAAAGAGACTCACTAAGTAACTTAGCACAAGACCCACTGTGGAGTGTGATACCATTTTAATACTTTTATTCCAGTTCATCCAGGACACATTGAATCTGATGTGAAAATGCTCTTGATACATTTGTGTTTATGGCTCCAAACTCCTTGAGATATCTAGGATGGGATGTACCTCTGAGACCTGTCAGTGAATTTTAGACAATGGATGATTCCATACTAGCTGGGGGATGTCAGGGGGATTCATCAAGTGGGCAGGTAATATGTGAGATAGATGTTGAATAATGGATTGGAATTTTCTCCATCAGAAAGAGAACAAATTGATTCTAGGACAATACCAACTGTGAACATGGTGCTACCATTTATTAAGAAAGTCTCCACATAGCAGAAAACCAATCATGAGTTAAATGGTAGACATATGGAGTTTGATACAGGCATCTCAGCAGAAGACAGACATAAAATCGAGAGAGGCCAAACCCTGTTCTTAACTGTGATGAATATTTCTGAGAATATTCTATGGACCACTCCTTCACCTACACACTGTGGAACTCAGTAGCTCATCTTTTCCTTCTTTTAAATGGAGTATCCCTTCTCTGCTATAGAACTCTGCTCTCTCTTTTCGGGCCCAGTAGGAATTTGAGTTCAACAGGAAACAAGCATTAGTGAAGTGGCTGCTGTTTGCACTCTTCTGTATTCTTGCTGTGCTGACGTGCAAAGGAAATTTGATGGGTACAAACCCTTTAGATAAATTCTCTTGTGATAAAGATGGATTTGACTGTCAGACAGATTTGCTGATCTTACAGCCAGGGTCTTGGACTTGGTTTCCCAGAAACAGTCCCTTGTGACAACTAAGAACGTTCCTATCCACATTTGGCCCCAAGATGATTTTTTCCTCTGAATCTTCTGAAACTATTTTTGGCCCTCTTCCATGTATTTTGGTAGCTTAAGAGTTAGGATTAAATATTTAACCCTCTGTTTGAAAACCATAAGTGTTTAGTTTCATCTTCCTTTAAACTCTGTTGGGTATCTGATTTTCTGAAGTTTAGCATGTTGAGAAATTTACATACATGGGCCACATATTCTTGGGATAGTTTTTGGAAAATTGATCACCACTCTATTCCCACTTGTTCCTTGGCTAGACAACACCCTAATGGAAAAACAATGAAATGTTAGGCGGTGTGTAGTTTTAAGAAATGTAATAGTGAGTCAGCAATTTTGCCCTACTTGTGAGTAGATTGCAAGAGATTTCCCCGAAGGGCCACACCAACTGGCAGGAGTGGCAGGAGAGGAGAGATGCAGAAAGTAGAACATTCTAGTATGTTCACCTTTATTCCTTCCCTCAGACTATTTTATCCATGATTTATTAAAATTCTAGGATGTAAGACTGACAAGGACAGGTTACCTGGTGGCAAAAGTAGGTGTACGCAATCAATAGCAGCAGTTTCCAGACTGACTATATGCCCTATCAGAAAATGAGAAAAAGAGATTTATCAATCTTATGAAGAAGCATGTGTGTATTTCTGGTCAGTCCATGTAATTTGGCACTGTGCTATGCTGATTAAAAAGAAAGTTTTAGTGTATACCAAGAACTCTTTTTGAGAACAGCAAATGGATTTTTTCTTACTTATGAATCTTTAATCACAGCACTGTTGTTATTACAGCTGCATGAATTTCCCCAGGGATTTATGTTCTCATTCAACATTTATTGATCCAGAGTTAGACAGCGTAGATTTAGAGCTTTGAAAGTTTATAACTGAGTTAGGAAAGCTTGGAGTTATGACGGTCCTTTTGAATGGAACTGGTAGAAAGGGGCACAGTAGCTGGCCACGTTAGGAGATAGAAACAGGAAGAGTTGGGTAGAGCAAGGAGACTCTTTTTTCTTGTAATTACTAACTGCCTAAGATCTGGCTTTGTATCTCAGAGCAGGCGTGGTGAGGGGGTGGATGGTAGCATCCATAGCTCATTCAGATCCCAGCTGTTGCTTCTGCCATTTATCAGAAATTAATCTGGGAGGCCGGGAGTATGGATCAGTGGTCAAACACATGATTAGCATGCACCAAGCCCTGGGTTCTATCCCCAGCATTGCCAAAAACAAGTAAATGAAACAACCCAAAAGCTGACATGGGCAAGAAATCTAGGAATTCGCACTTTCTTATTAGATTTGGAATAATTTTTCTCAAAATCCCAATATCCCCATGGCTTGTCACACATAAGGGATGACTTTGCATCCCAGACTGGGTAGGATGGAAAGATGTGGATTTTGGGAAAGTTAAGAATAATAAGTAGCAAACAGTGAGAAAACACTATATCAGTTGGCTATTACTATATAACAAAGCACTCCAAAACACTGCAGTTTAAACCACAACACATTTATTATCTTACAGTACCTGTAGGTCAGGGATGGAGACAAAGCTTTGCTGGGTTCTCTGCTTGGGGTTTCTCTCCAGCCACGGTATTGGCTAAGGCTGGGTTGATCAGATGACCAGATATAAGCATGCAAAACTGATCAGAACATAAAAAATTTTAAGCATTAACTGTTCCTTTCAATATACCATCAGACATCAGCAGTAGAGTTATCGCAGCTACTCATATATATATGTGTATTTTGCCTTCCTTCTTTCTTTTTTCTTCTTTCCCTCATCCCAGTCATTCCTTCTTTTGAGCAGTTTCTTTCCCTTTCCTATCATGTATTGTACGTTTTGAGTTTTACCTAGTCTTTCAGGTTCCTACATCAGGGAGAGAATATGATATTTACACATGTGGGTCCAGTTTATTTCACTTATGAGTATGGTCTCTAGTTGCATCCATTTACCTACAAAAGCCTAGAGTTTATCTTTTTTTATAGCTGACTAATGCTCCCATAAAAATACCACAGGAGGATTTGAAGGGGATTAATGGAGTGTGTTTTACATTGTAATAAAATTTTAAAAATTTAAATAGTATATATTTTGATCACACTGCATACATCTATAAATATAGATATATTAATTGTAAATATAGACACATTAATTATGAACATAGATATATTAACCTATATAAAATAGATCTATCTGTAAATGTAGATATATTAATCTATATAAGATAGGTCTATTTGTAAATGTGATCAATCAACCTATCTAGCTAGCCATTAAAACGGACTGGCTCCCAGCGTCATGGAGACTGAGAACTTCCTAGATCAGCAATGAGCAAATTTGAGACCTAACAGCACCAAGGTTGTAGATCCCAGCTGAAGGCCAGCAGACTCATCTTACGAAGATATCCGACGTTTCAGATCAAATGTGAACATGGGGAAAAGAGAACGTTTCAGTTCAAAGGTTGTCAGGCAGGAAGACTTCTCTCTTACTCTGTCTTGTTCTGTTTGGGTTTCAGGTGCTTGGTGGAGCCCCACCACTTTGGGGAGGGTCATCTGCTTTACTCCGTCTGCTGACTGCAATGCTCACTCCACCCAGAAACGCTCGCACACACACGTGTGTAACATTCCCTGATAACCGGGCTCTGTGTGGCTCGGTGAAGTTGGCACATAGTAGTAACTCTCACACTCCTTCATTTTCGGCAACCCTCAGCAAGGCTTGAGGACACTGTGATGCGTCCGAGACCAAAGGAGCAGGAATTTATCCATCAAAGCCAGACTGAAGTTCAGGTTTCCAGGTTCCATGTTCTTTTCTCTCCTCCTCTCTGCTACTCAAGA